CTAGGGGCTTCAGCTGGAGGCCATGTCCAGTGCAATCCCTGTGCCCTGAGATACACAGGGCAGACAGGATCTGATCTGCCCTCATAGGAAGGGCTCCCTGTGCCGCAGTGGGCAGCCCCATCCCACGGGCACCAGCTTCCAGGCCAGGGTGAGATGCACTCTGGCATCTGGGGGCCTCTCTCATTCTGCTGAGCAAAGAGGGTGGCTGTGGCTCAGCCTCAAGACTTTTCCTCCTCCTCCCTGGAAGCTGGCCATGCCCCCACCTCCCCAGGCCTGGCCGCAGTGTGCAGGACAGTGGCCCTGAAAGTGGCCCCCAGACCTCTCAGATGAGCAGGTGAGGTGAGCTTCCGGGGCCTGTGCAGTGGGTCCCCAAGGACACAGGGATCTGGCTCCGCCAAGCACTGAGCTGTGAACCCATCACAGTGGAGACGTTCAGTCCCACCCCCGGGATGACTGCGAGGGGCTGCAGGAGTCCATGGGCCCAGAAGCACTGCTGGCTCTATAGCCATGTGGGTTTTATGTCCAGAGGCCTGGAAGCTGCAGACAGCAGAAACCTGCCTCTCTCCTTTCGCTTTGTTTCTTAAATCTGCAGAAAGTTCAGAGACAGAAAAACAAGCAGAAGCAGCTCTGCAGTCTGGGCTCCGGCCCTTCCCTTTCGCTGCCTGAGGCTCACTGGCTCGAGTGGTCTGGCCACCGGGCGCTCAGGTGCCCACTGCGGATGAGGTCTGGTGAACCTGTCCCGGTTCCCGGTGGCCACCGTGGCCCCTTGTTTGGCAAGGACAAGACCCTGCCTTTATGGGGTAATTAGTGCGGACAATGACCGGTGCCCCCATGGCCTCGGGGCCCAGTGGAGCAGAAGGGAATCTCAGCGGCATGAAAAGTCACGGGAGGGAGGCGTGGGTGGTGGCTGAATAGCGACAGTTACCTTCTGAATAGATTAAATTTTAAAACCTCCATGGGGGCGCTTGGCGGGAGTCAGAGTGACAATGAGGTTTTGTGTCTGTGCAGCTCCAGGAGGAAGCCTGGCGGGGGTTTGCTGCCCCGGATGACCTGTGGGCTGGACTGCTGGACCTGCTGGAGGCCTGCGGGGCCTTCAGGGCCAGGGGCCCCCCTGGAGGCCTAGGTCGCCAGCAGGCTACAGCACTGGCTGCAGGCATAGCCGCACCCAGGGACGCCCAGATGCCCAGCGAGCCACTAAGCCCAGCCCAAGACCTTGACCTCAGCCTGGTCCCCAGCCTCTGCCAGCCCTCCATGCCGCCCCAGAGTCCCCCCAGCCCTGACTTCCTGGCCAGGCCGTCTGGCTCCAGCCTATGCCCAACCAGGACGGCACCCCTGCTGCAGGGATAGGTGCCCCTCCAGTGAGCCTGGCCCTCAGGTCCTCCAGGGCAGCTCAGAACGGATGCAGCTGCAGGCTCACACCCTCGGGGTCCTCATCCAGAGCCCCCAGTCTGGCAGAGCTGCTGATCAGTGTCTTCCAGCTGCAGACAGACACTAGCACTGCGAGGCTCACATCCACTGCCTCCTCCAGGAGGGCAAGTTCAAGGAAATGAGTGGCCTTGCCATCCAGCTGTACGGAGAAGGCTCCTCGATTCCTGCATGTGATGTCAGGGACAGGAGCCAAGGTGGGCTGCAGGAGACCTGGGTCCCGGGGGCCCTGGGAACCAGCTCAGCCACACACTGGGCATGAGCTGTAGGACTCCTCGCTAGCTGACCAAGGCAGATACCAGGCCCCTGCCCCTGCCATCCCTCTTCCCTGGTGCCCTGGTTTCTAGAGTCCCTTCCTCCGCAGGACGCCTTCTGGCAGGCAGCCGTACTCCCTCCTGGCCTTTGGCCCTTCGTGTCTTTTGCAGCATGGGGTGGAACTGCCCCTCCTGGTCACCCATTATCTAGTCTGGTTGTTGCCTGGCTGTGTGATGGGCACAATCCTGGCCTGAGTATGGCAGTGAGTCCCCGAGAAAGGCCATGGGCAGGGCCCAGGGGAGCTTCGGTGCCATCCCCTGCCCACATGGAACTCACCCCCAGCCAGCAAGGCCAGAGGGCTTCCATGGGCTGGGATTTGGTGGCCAGAGGCTTCCATGAGAGCCAGGGGGGCTGTTGGAGCCATGGTGGGCTCTGAGTTGGCCTCATGATCGTGGCTGGCTCCTTGTAAGCCCAGAAGATCCCAAGAGGAAGGCTGGGCTCTGAAGTCCTGGATGCAGGTGTCCCAGGCTTGGCTGCAGTGACTCGGGTCTGCACAGGGCAGTGGGGACCGGTGGTGCCTGTGGCAGGCGGGACGCTGCGGCTCTCGGGCACAGGCTGTCCTGAGCCCAGGGTGGCCTGCACT